GCAGACAGAGACATAGAGACAGAAAGCGAGAAATCACCCCCCAGGGCGGATGGTCACGCCGCAATACCTTCTCCTCCATTCTCCTCTCGGGATCTTGGGCACGCACGCACACGCGCCCGGCATGAGGTTTAAGCCACCAGGTCCGGGATGCGAACCGCGGTCAACTACGTGGGAGTCCGGCGACATAGCCATTATACTAACTGCTGGTTCCCCTCCTATTCTAATTTTTAAACTCAGCCTCTTATCTCAGTATAACCAGGTAAATACAACCCTTGCAATCTAATTTGGATGAGAACAAGAGGCCCATGGGTGGGGTTCTAAGACTTTTCTTAGGGGCAGTGACATCAGAGGCAAAGATCTCTGGTTAGAGTTTTAGAAGACCTATGTTAGTATTTTTGAAATTTTAAGATAATTATGAAGCAGAGACATGTTGAAGAGAAACCTGGCTATTTTTACAGAATTCCCAGACTGTGTTGGCCCCTTCTCTGTGAGAGTATCTTAGAATTTTGAGGTGGGAAGGATACTGGTCATTACTGGTAGACACCTTGTGGAAACCTAGGTAGACCATGACTTGGACAAAAAGTCTTTTCTAACTTGGCCTGCTGCTTTCATGAGGAAGCATCGCTTTTATGGTGCTGAAAGTGAGCAGGTACGAACTGTAATTAGAGCACTTGCTGCCCACTTCATTGCCAAGTGAATTTCAGAATCATTACATTACATCATCAGCTTTTTGTGAGCGGTAACTTAGGCCAGACTTCTTCACAAGTGGGAAAATTGAGCTTTCTTCCTGTGGTGGATTGTACAATGTTCCGGACACTCGTTGCTGCTCCTTGTGAGGATAATGTGTCTCTGTCCCATGGACATGGCCATTGGACTGCTCTGGCCAACAGACTGTGAGTGTAAGTTACATGGACCACTCCTGGGAAGAAGCTTAAAGAACCATCTTGCTATTTTCTATGTGATCTTTACCCACTGCCCCAGGACAGGACAGAGTCTGAGAATGAGGACAATGTGGCACAAAGCCACAGCTATCCTGTGATGGACATGTGGTGTGAGAAGTAAGTCATTTTGTTATAAACCACTGAAGTTTGGGAATTGTTTGTTTCCACAGCATAACCTAGCATAACCTGACTGATAAGCCTTACTAGGGTCAGGCAGCCAGTGGTTAGATATCATAGGGAGCTCTAGGGCCCAGATGAAATCCTCAAGATTTTACTAGGAGAAAGGAGCTGTCCTATTGATTTTTTTTAAGTTCACTTTCCTTACCTATTTTATTTTATTTTATTTTATTTTATTTTATTTATTTTTTTGAGAGAGATTTTTGCTGTAGGGTGAGAGCACTTGCTGGAGAGACTGAGAGAGACAGAAAGCGGGAAATCACCCCCCATGGGGGATGGCCATGAGGCAATCCTTTCTCTTCCATTATCTTCTTAGGATTTGGGGCACCCACACACAAGTGGCAAGAGTTTCAAGCCACCAGGTCCAAGACTCAAACTCTGGTCGACTACATGGAAGTCCAGTGATGTAACTATTATGCTGTCTTTTGGTCCCCCTATCCTAATTTTTAAAATAGCTTGAGATACCTAGTTAATATTCATAAAGTTCTTTGAGATCCTATGTATATGGCAATATTAAGTACTAAAGCATCAGGATCTTTAGATAGAGCGAGTATTTTAAGTATTATAAATATTCTCACCATCAGAGAGGGGGGTGAAAACAAGGCGAATGAGAGATTAGTAATCTAGGAAGTAGAAGAAAGATGAGGAAGAGACAAGAGGCATAGCATGATGGATGAATTTGTTTGGTATTTTAATTTTCCTTGCTCTGAGATGACAAGGAGGACTTTTAAAAGAAAGATGCTTTCATCAATCTTTCTCATTTCTTCCCCATTTTGTGAAAAGAAAAAAAAAAGAAAAAAAAAAAAAAAGAAAGACCACTCCCAGGATGGAATTTTAAAAAGTTTAATTTGGTGTGGCTTCTTTCTGTTCTTACATGCCACTAGGCCATGGGATGGCCCTCTTTTCTTTTTTTTTTTTTTTTTTTTTTTTTAGTTTTATTAAGAGAAAACCCCTAGGGTCAAGCCATTATGCTCATACTGAGTCCACATAAGAGTGTTTTGAAGGCCTTCATTGTTCAAGGAGTGTCAAATCTCAGATAAACTGCCTCTTTCTGTATACTCTCAGACTAAAAATCTACAAGGCTCCAACGTGTGTGTTTTAATACTTACGGATCTTTGAGAAATTCATTAAGAATGGGAGGTGATATAATGATAAGGAAGTTGGGAAAATTCTGCCCCTTTCCAGAATTCTATTTATTGTCCCCTGGTATGAAAGAGAGCTTGAGTCAGTGTGTCACATGCAGAGACATCTGGCATCTACTTACTATGGTTGAGTAGAAACTGCTTCAGCAAGAAATGTGTAGTGCCTCTGAACAGGACTCCATAGATGCCTACCGAGCTCCTACTGTGTGCCAGGCTTTCTAATACTCATCTCCAAAATAAGCAGCTTGGAATAACTTCAGGATTGGCACAGGGTTCTTATTCATCTTGGACCCAGCTCATGATTACCGAACTATGGATGAGATTAGAATCAATTCTAGAAAGGACCCAATTTGGCTTGGCTTATAAAATCTTAATTAAAAGTGTGAACTGGGAAGGCAAGAAAGACCAACAGATACGATCCAAGTGGAAGAGGATCAAGCTGGGTAGTAATGTAGGGGGCACCTGGAACTTTGTAAGCCTTCAGGTCATTTATAGCTTCTGGGCACCCGAGTGGCCAGGACCAGAGTGCAAATCTGCTGGCAGCTGAGTTGCTCATGAACTCACTGACTCACCCTGGGGATTTTTATTAGCAAGTTAAACATGCGTTTCTTTTAAAGGATGATTACAGAACAGTGACTATGATGAGCCATACTCTAATTGACATGGAAGTTCCAAATAGTTCAGAAGGAAAGTTCTTAAGGACACAGAGCATGCATACTCACACCCGCCAACAGCACTCCTCTCCACTCTCGTTCTGACATAACTGCAGGAGAAAATACCCTTAATCCTACCTCTGTGTCAGTACGAATTCAATTCTTTAGTCACCTATTATTCGAGGACAGCAAAGTATCCTTTCCCTTCCATCAGCTTTTTCTCAGCTCGTAGACGTTTGAACACGTATGAGAGAAATACATTCTGGCAAGCAATAACTTGCAACTGCAGCTGTTTCCATTGTTTGGGGATAAAACAACCCAAGTTCAGTCCACCACAAAGAGAAGCTCTTTGGCGGTTGTCAGTAAAACAGGATCAAGGAGCAAAGGCTAGCTCCCCACCCCACCCTAATTTACTGTTTTATTACTTCCCACAGCAGCCTGGAAGGCACAAGGAACCCTTGCCTGACGTCAGAAATATTTCTTCGCTGAAACACTAATTGGCCAGAGTCACTGGGGCTGGCTGGGGCTGTTTCTGACTGTTCAGAAGGCCCTGAAGATAGGAAGGTGTTTTCACGGGCTAAAGGCAAATCACGTAGGTTTCTCACATCGTTATGACGAGATCATTTGGGTAAGACACTGACACAAGAAAAATGAAAAGACAATGAAAACTGTCAAAATAAAGCCTGGCCCTGATAGCTGCTGCCTCTACCTCCCGTTTCAGGTAAGAGATGTATTCTGTAGCTCTTAGGGCAAGGCCACAGAACCGTCCATTGAGGGGATTTCAGCCCTGGTGACTGAGCTGTGGAAATACATTGCTGAGATTTGGGGTGGAGTGAGGGGAGATGGGTAAAAATCAGCAGTTCGACGGGACAGCAGTTGGCGTAATGGCTATGTTGCTGAACTCCCATGTAGTCAACTGCGGTTCAAGTCCTGGACCCAGTAGCTTAAACTCACGTTGGGTGTGTATGCGTGCGTGCCCAAGATCCTGAGAGGAGAATGGAGGAGAAAGGATTGTGGCATGGCCATCTCCCCTGGGGGGTGATTTCTCGCTTTCTGTCTCTCTGTCTCTCTCTGTCTTTCTGGCGAGTGCACGTGCCCTACAGCAAAAACCTCTCAAAAACAAACAAACAAACAAACAAACAAAAACAACCGACTGCAAAGGGAGTGAAATTAGGCTCCGCCTTTTGAAGGTAGGAGTAGCAAAGAACAGTGGCCATATCTACGAAACACAATAGTAATAAATCACAGAGAAATTCCGACATTTGCTGGCTCAAAACTGACCCCTTTTATTATTATTGTTATTATCTAACACAAACAATTGTTCACTGTTCCCCATAATGTAGCTCTAGGCCAATCTTTTTTGCTTATCTAACAGAGAACTAGTGAAGACTTTCAGTAGGAACCACAGCTGATATATGTGTATTTATGAATGCATGCCCTTTGAGGTGATGGGTGATTAGGAAAGAGAGAAAGTGTCTGATGTTTTTAAAGAAATCGCAGTTTCTTGGGCCTGGTTCTGGACATGTCGGATGAGAAGCACACCCTGCCTATTGCATTTGCTTAAATACCCTTGGCTGCTCTGTGGCTCAGCCTGGTTATGTTTTCTTCTACCCTTGATCAATGATGGTGCCTATCCTGTCTTGTGAATGTACCTTCTTTTATTTATTTATTGTCACTATTTTTCAATTTGTACTAGAGAGCTAGAGAGAGAGAGAGAGCGCGCAAGCCGCCAGGTCCGGGACTTGAATTGCAGTTGGCCGTATAGGATTACAACGCTTTTAGCCATCATGCCACCTGCCAGCCCTGTACATATACTTTCTGGGGTCAGAAATTTGGGAACTGAGAAGGCATGGCCACACGTGGCATGTCATGTTCAGTTTTAAGCAAGAAGAAACAAAGGCAAGCCCATCTTGTAAATGAGGATGGGGGGGCCTCTGTGACAGTGTTGTGTGCAGGACCCTTGACGGCCCCAGGGCAGCTTGACAAGGACAACGTGCTGCTCCCCTTCCTTTGGATCTTACCAGCGCAGTGCAGACAGGCTGACCGACTTGCAGCCATCAGCCTCTGCCTCTCTTGGTTTGAGGGCTTTCTCTAGACGCTGGTGCGTGGTAAAACTCCTTTAGAGCTGCTGTCAATTACTAACCAGTGGTTGTCAGTGTTTGGATTCCCAGCTCCATCATCCTGCAGGTGAGAGAACTTGGAGGGACATGTTTTAACCTGACTTCCCAGGAGTACTGAGTTCTTGTTGCTCGCAGTAGTGGCCGGGTTGAAAATGCACCCTTTTTTTAGACTGCCTTTCCTTCCCTTTCAATTCTCTACTCCCTAAGTGGTGTTTCCTAGCTCTGCTTCTCAGATAAACTTATATATTTAGCTCTATTCCCTGTCTGTCTTGATTCCCTACCTCACCCTCAGATAAACTGCTTGCATTTGAAGAAATCCTTGAGACAGGATCTGCTTCTTGGGAAACCCAATTTGAGACAGTGGATGTCATGACCTCTGTCTCCTAAATTCAGGTGACTGTCTTGTGGAAGAGTGATGAGATTTTGTCATTCAATGGGGAGATTTAGGGCCACTAGATAATAGTTATTGAGAGGTGAATCTTAGAAATAATTCTTTTATTTATTTCTTTTCTTTTCTTTTTTTTTAAATTTTGCCACAGAGTATGTGCTCTTACCAGAGAAAGAGAGACAGAGAGAGGAGAAAGTGTTCCGCATGGGGAAAGGTCACACCACAATGCCTTCTCCTAAATTCCATCAAGATTTGGGGCATGCAAGCACATGTACCTGGCATATTTCCAAGGCCACTGGGTATGACTCTAACTGCAGGGGTGGCCATGTGGGATCTGGCTGCCTTAATCAGCAGGCTACAGAGCTGGAAGAATTCTATTATAACTCAAACTGCTTAAAAATGGAATGGGTTGCCTTGGAAGGCAATAAACTCAATGTCTCAAGGGGTGTTAATACAGAGACTTGTTAACCACCAGGGATGCGAGATTGATACACAGCCTCAACTAAATCACTTCTAAGGTCAGAGTTGGGTTTCTTGTGGAGCTAATGAAGTTGAAACTCCTGCACACAATCCTTTTAAGTCCATAGCGATGTGTACACATGGTCATAAAGGCCTGTGAATTTGCAGATCTTTGAAATACAATTGATTAAGCCCACTGTCTGTTTCTACTTTAACTTATTCCTGTTCTGTGAAACTTCAAACAAAATTGATCAGAATTCTGGAGCTTGCAGGTAACACATGTGTAGCAGTGCTGGAAATGATTGCAACCCTTTGTGATGCATGCTTTTATGCATCTCGACATATCAGATTGAATTTTGGCATATCTGACACATCTTGTTCTGACGAAGCACGGTGGTTCCAGATGAAATAGCATGCAAAATTCCACCAACACAGCAGAATATCCTTACAAAGCAAGCGACAAAGCTACAAAGAAGTTTCAGTGATAAAACTTATACGCTAATAGTAATTTGAGAACACAGTTATGTCATTCTATTTAATGTAACAGCAATTATAGAAGTATCTAATTAGTATGTTTTTAAATTTTAGATTAGTTTTTAATATTTCCTTTATAATTATGAACTAGTCAAAAATTTAACTATAATAGGAAGGAAATATCTTTGCATAAATCCAAAATGCAACCTGAAAGAAAATGGCCGTAGTATTTATTTCTTGGCTTTTAAAAATGTGTAATCTGTTGATATTTCTCCCTCATTAGAAATATTTATTTTTGTACCTAATTTTGTATGCATAACATGTCATTTCTGTTTCTTTTATTTAAAAGGATCTGCATATATTTGAGATCTACTCTGTCTGAGGTACTTTTTTATTCTAAGATTCTGAGTCATGAGTCTTCCTGCTTCTTTTTTTAAAAATCTGTTTATTTATTTACAGTCATTCCCTGTATACCAATATCATATACAAAATGAGATTTTCCATCCAGTATACATTGTATATTGGCTCAATCAAGGATATTACTATACATGTTACCATCAAAAAATAATTTTCTATTTCTTGTTTCTTACATATTTTGCTTTATTTCTCCCTCCCCTTGATTCCCTACCTCTCACCCTCTGCCAGCTCCCCCCACTTACCCACACTGTCTCTGGTATGTAGAGTTGTTTTCCATACCTATTTTTTTTTTTTACATTTTATTGGTCCACTAAAGATCTTAATTAATTTTAAGACTTTCAGTAGAAACCACAGCTGATATATGTGTATTTATGAATGCATGTCTGACCTTAGGCATAAGCCGCGGTGAGTAAAGTGAATATACTACAGAGTAGTACCTCACTGGGGCTATATAGTTTACTGCAGTCATTAAATAGGTATGAATCGGTATTTTTAAGCGGATTTTTTAATTTTAAAAACAACTTTAGTTTTACTAGATCAAAATCAAAAAATGTTAAGAGAAATTTGCTTAAAACCTGTAACCAGGTAAAAGGTTAGGATTCAGTTCAAATAGTTAGGTAGATGAACCTTTCAACAGTTCAAGAGAAGACAAAAATCTTTAAATATGGGAATCAAAGCTTCAAAGAAAATCAGTAATGTTTAGTGTAAAGTGAAAAAATTCTATTTCACTAGTTTAGACTCATGTAATTAATTTCTCTTCTATTGACTTTGCAGTGTTACTGTGGTCTGATCTTCCCATTTAAATTCTGGAAGTTCACATTCAACTCCAGACTTGTTCCTACCATTAGGCTGGCCATTGAGTCTATCTGCTTATAAGAGCTTCATGGTAATCAATCACACACACGCACACACACACACACACACACACACACACACACACACATTTATTTATTTATTTGTCATAGGGCATGTGCCCTCACTGGAGAGATGGCCAGAGACAGTGAAGGAAAGGTGAGCAGTCACCCCCAGGGGGATAGCCATGCCACAGTCCCTTCTCCTCTATTCTCCTCCTGAGATTTTGGGCGTACATACACATGTAACAGGCATGATTTTCAAGCCACCAGGTCTGGGACTCAAACCAGTCAATCATATGGGAATCCAGAACCTTAACCACCTGGCCACCTGTTGGCCCCATATTCTTTATGTATCTTGTTAGGAATATTCTGTAGAGTGGAATGAGATGTGTGAAATTCTAGCTCAAAAGTGCAGAGAAAATCGCCAGTAATATTTTCAATGCAGTCTTAACATACAAAGCCACGTCTGGAGCAATCCCGTGCTCTCTTTCTCTCTCTGTGCCTTCATCCCCCTGTCTACCATCAGGGTGAGTGGTGGAGGATTGCTCGTGGACAATTATTTTGGATCCTCCCCACATTTTCCACAAAGAATTTTATGAACTAAAGGGACTTGATCCAAATGTGTTATTAATAACAATGAAATTAATATAGTACAGCTATTCTTTTGAATTCTTTCTGGTTTATATACTATTACTCCAGGGATGCAAGATAATTGATGATTATACAAATACATATTAATTTGAATGCTCAGCATGAGGACAGAACTGAACAGTAGGACAAAATTAAAGTTCATCAGTTGCAGAAATGGATTAAACCTTCCCCAATTGTAGAAGGATATGCTTAAATGGGTCCAGAGGAGTCAGCAAACTGTGGTCCTAGGGCCAGATATGCTCCTGCTCTGTTCTGTAAGTAAAATTTTATCAAAACATAGGCATGCTTATTTATTTACCTGTTGTCTATGGCCACATTCATGCCACAACTGCAGAGCTGGTACAGTAGAGACGTCTGA